TACATATCTTTCTCGCCATATAGCCATATTGGAGCGCCATCTTTAAGCTTTCAAATGCACTGTAATTGTTGGCGGTTGTACTAACTTAAAAAAAAAGTGTTGTTACGTCTTGCCCTCCGTAGAAATATAATTTTGTTTTTTTTATTTGTTTGTCTTTTCATTTCGCGTTGAATTATTTTCATTATTTGGTTTTGCGTCATCAGTCTAAAATATTTCTAATTGTTTAATTGCGGATTTCTAATTGTTTAATTGCGGATATTCCTAGCGAAGAACTTAATCGGCGTGCGATTCTATCGTGCTGACACCACGTGACACGCGTGCCGCGTAAGCCAATCGAAGCACCTGTGAGGCACGTGCCGTGTGCCGATGCGTTGCGACGAAATTTTAGGCAGGATAATTCCGCGTGGAGTTAAAGAATCGTTTCCATATGTTATGACTTTTATATCATTACTGTCCTACACGAGATTTACGAAAATTAATCTGTTCGAAACGCCTCAACGCCTAGAATCCTTCGAAATAAGAATAAGCTGTCGCGCACCAATCACGGCCCGCGATGCGCGTGTTGCTCGTCGCTCCGTATTCTCAGTGAGACCTTAGCCGCTCTGGCTGAGAATATTGTTAATTTAAAAGTCTCGCATTATAGTTAATACATTTTTTGTTTAATTTACTATTGTTTGGTTATCGTGACCAACCTAAAATGAATAAGTAAACGCGAATTAGTCGCGTTAGCGAGCACCGACCGATCGAGAGTAAGGAAGGAGCAGTGCGGACCACGGAAAAGGACCCAAAACTTAATTTGCTAATAACTTTAAAATTCTATTAATTAACGCAGAACTAATTTGATTCCTCAGTTTTAAATTAAATTCGCGGCAATCATGCCGAGTTTTAGTCCGGTATGACTAATATTTCGAGAGGAAAAGTCCTTTTTTTCACATTTGTCACGTACACCCAATTCTGGGAAATTCGCGCTCCTTCTTCCTCCCGACTCATGAGCACCACCGACTGATGCCTATATAAACGGGGCGAAAACCGAGCCCAGCGTCATTTGTCATTATTTGATCGAGTCATAGTTCTGTCAGATTACTCTGCGATTGGATCAACAGAAGGAATATCTCTATAAAGCATATTTCAAGAAAAACAAGTACGCATGGTTTATTTCAAGCTTCCCATTTTTCTTCACCCCTCGGGCTAACCGCGCTTGTTACAAACACTGCTCAGCCTTCCCCTTTCTCCTAGGCTAACCGCGCTCGTAGAAGCTGCTCAGTTCACCCCCCTCCCAGTTGGACTAACTGCGCTCGTAGGAACTGCTTAGCCCATTCTTTCTAAGAATTGACCGCGCTCGTAGGAGCTGCTCAATTCTTCCTTCCATTACTGTCTGTTTCTTCAACGATTCTTTTAATGCAATTAGTTAACTAACCGCGTCGGTAACATAATAAAAATACTTTTTCGATAGAATGACCAAACGAGGGATCCGTATCAACTTCAATGTAACCAGCATGTCAGCCAGTTCCGTATTAAATAAAAATTCAATTTAATATGGCATTATATTCTATTCTTATTCAATCCACTCTTCCATCCCCTCCCGAAGGGTATGAAGTGATGAAACGGCTTGAATTGCTCGGATCCATCATAAATTTCTTGCTAAATGAACGTTAATCAATTTGATATTTGTTACAATTATAATCGTTCACTAAAGTAAGTCCAACTTTAACCTAAAAATTGTTATCTCGTATTCAGAGCATTCAAAATTCCTGTCTTCGTTTCTCCTACAATGCCCGCAAATTTGATCATTTATCCCCTTTGTTTTCTCGCTCTGGCTGGTTAAAGATCTATCAGCGTTTCATTCTTCATCTTTGCTGTCTTGTTTTTCGTGTATTTCTTTCAAATACCCCTTCCTACCTTCGCAATCTTTTAAATCTCAATTCTGAACTCCATTCGACTCTCACCCTACTCGTTATCATGATTCCTTGTCCTTTCCCACGCATCGCTCAGTCAAATTTCGCGCTGCTTTCTCCTACGTTGTCGTAAAGTTATACAATATACTATCCCCTTTTATCCGCTTTTCCTCTTCTCTCTCCTCTTTTCGTTTGGCCGTTGCTCGTTTCCTATCTTCTATGGATTGTTGAAGTATGAAGGAAGATGGAAGAATACAAAATTAAATTGCAGTGTGTAGTTATTTCTCTCGCAATTACGTCGCTGTTATGTTTAATTTGTTATCGTCATGTATTATTCTATATCTACTGCTATCTTTCTTTTCATTGTAATTTAAAGCTGTATACAGTTTTTGCGTATTGTTCACTTATTATTATCTTTCCATTCATTGTAATAAAGATTGTATTTCAGTTTTTGTGCATTTTATTTGTTAGTATGAAATTTTCAACATCTATCGATTATATCTTATTACTCTCTTGCTGGCAGGCGTTAGAACAACAGATTTGCTGGTGCCTCACCATTTGTGCACATGTATTGTATTATATTTTCAGTTTATGTTTGTTTTAGCTTTCTTCTCTGCAACCACAATTTTTGTACACATTACACAATAAATTAAATTAAATTAAATTAAGTATTAACGCTAATGACAATTTCAGCAAACTATTCATAAATTATTCAGTTAAATAATTTACGTTATCTCACACACACACACACACACACACACACACACACACACACACACACACACACACACACACACACACACACACACACACACACACACATATTAACAAAGAATAATCTTAAATTTCACTACAAGAAAATGGTAATTGTCGATTTGAAATCTTGAGTCAATATTTACAGATTACTAATTATAAAAGGACTCCTGTAGCATGCGATACCGGCGCTAACGGTCTCATGGTTTGCCGCTCAACCTGAGGTACGCTCCCATTCTGATCATACCTCTCCTACTCTAGTAAACACTCCGTCACTCTTCCAATCGAGTATCCTGCTCGTTCGCCGCGCTGGACCGTCTCTTTCTCCGCATCCAGCAGCGACGCGGCCCCAAATATAATGCTAAAATAGCTAAAATATACGATCGATGACTATTAGCTAACTTTGTATAAGAATTCGAGACGTTTCTGGCGACAGCGGCGGGATGAGACATGACAGTTCGTAACGTAATTGGTGACAGCGGGGGGATAATACGAAAACCGCTGCATCCTAACGCAATAAATTATAAACGTGAAAATATTTAAATTAGTTACACCTCGCGTCGTAACAATGTTAAAAGCAATGTCGTTTGAGAAGCAGCATTTGAGGCATTGCCTTTTTTCGCTTTTCAATTAAAAAAAAAGTGCTGCTGAAGCACAGGAAATGATTTGTTCGGCTTTGGGAGAGGATGCTGTTTCTTACAGTACCTATAAAAAGTGGTTCCAGCGGTTTAAGAGTGGAAATTTCGACCTTAATGAAAAACATCCGGGACAGCCAAAGAAAGTCAACGATAAGGAACTGGAACAACTTTTGGAAGAGAATTCCTGTCGCACACAGACAGAGCTCGCACGGGAATTCGGAATAAAGCAAGCCATTTCTAAGCGTCTACATAAACTGGGGAGAATTCAAAAGGAGCGCCATTAAATTCCCCACGAACTCACAGCTGAGAACAAGCGTAGACACTTATGATATTGCTGTGTCGTTGCTATCCCAATTCAAGCAGAAGGATTTTCTGCACAAGATTGTGACCTACAACGATAAATGGATCCTCTACAATAATCCAAAGAGGCGAAAATCGTGGGTTTATTCGGGACAGCCTTCGAATAGTACCACAAAATCGAATATCCACGCCAAGAAGATGTTGCTGTGTATATGGTGAGATCAGCAGGGCGTCGTTCATTACGAATTGCTCCAACCTAGTGAAACGGCCACTGCTCAATGTTATCAGCAGCAATTGATTCGTGTTAGTGACACATTGGAGAAGAAAAGACCTTACACCGGCAAGGGAAGAAGAAAGGTTATCTTGATTCAGGATAACGCGCGGCCACACACAGCAAAAACGACTTTGAAAACGATCACCGACTTGAGCTGGAAAATTTTACCGCGCTCTGCATATTCTCCAGACTTCGCCTCTTCAGATTATCATCTTTTTAGATCCTTACAACATCATTAGGCTGATATTCATTTCATTTATGTCAAGAATGTCGAGAAAAGTATTATCGAATTTATAAATTTAAAACAATCCTCTTTTTTCCGAAATGGAATTCGGCAGTTTCCCGAAAAATGGCGCAAATGTATAGAAAACGAGGAAGATTATTTTGAAGATTAGGTAATTATTCGACTTTTTATAAATTAGTATCAAAGTTCAATGAAAAAGGTCGAGAATTAAGTTGCGCACCTAATATTTATAAAATATTTATCAAAATATTTTGTAAATATTTTTGTGGGCTTATATTGCACAGATTATAAAGATTTATTATAAATATTATGAAAATATTTAATATTATAATCCTTTAACTATAGGTATAGGAGCACGTGCAAACTTTGGTTATTATGACTGAAATATGGAAAAATAAATAAAATAAAATAAAATTCTACTTGGGGAGAAATTATTAATTTAACAATCGATTTTTTTTATTTTAAAATTTTTAGTCAAATTTTCTAGGTAAAAAAGATCATTTTTGCTTCAATGTTGAAAAACTCGGTGAAAAAAATTGTACAGAGCTGAATAAAAAAGGTAAAGACTTAAAGGTAAAGATTCAATCTTTCAAATACTTTTAATCGTATTTATGTAAAATTTTTTATTCGCGCCGGGGAACTTTGCAAATTTTGTAAAAAAATTTTGAGATTTGTTGCATTTTTATTTATGTTGTGTAACTCCATAAAATATTAATAAGACCATTTTCTAAAGTACCGCCCTGAAAAATAGAAATTTTAAGTTGTTAAAATGCTCATTAAAATGCTTTTTTTAACATCTTGATACAATGATTTTTGACAAAGTTCTTCTATCTTAAAATTTGCCTATTTGTGCAGGATGGAACAGGTGATTTAATTTTGTTGAGTAGTGTAGTTACAGAAATAACTCCTCGAATCAACGTCAAATTAATAATTTCAACATCGATTCCACGTCGAATTAATAATTTTGACATCAATTCGACGTCGAATTGATGATTTCAACGTCGATTTGACATCCATTCGAAATCGAATTAACAATCATTTCTTACTAGGTTTGTCAAATCCCTTAGGAAAATAATAAATGGTCGTGTCCTCAACATAATCAAACTATGGTTTTTGCAAAATTTTAAAGATTGAAATCGGATACACAGTGTAATTGATAATACATGACTTCAGTTCTCAGACGTAAACAATACAATGAATTTCTCATAAATTAAGTGTACACTGACAGAACTTCTATAACATAGTGGTGCCAACAACTGAATGACCACTGCTTATATCGAGATATTAACTCTCTAAATTCTTTGGAGTAAAATCTTATTTAGAGAGAGAAAATTGATGGTCTTGATACGTACTCTTAACAGTCGTTAGCCTATCTTTATGATATATAAGACAACCAGGTCCAATGTGAATGACCTCCTAAGCTTTAAGAATTTTTTTAACTTTTGTTAAGGTCAAAATTGAAAATTAATGGTCACGTTCGAAAGAGGAAACATTTTTGAAATTGAAAAAAAATGAATCATCTTCAAATATTTATATAGAGATTTAAAAGAAAGGTAGCATTTGGGGCACCTTAGCAAAATATGTACCCAACGTGAACTGTGTATACGTCTTCCTTTTTTCATATGAAAATATTAAAAATATGGAAAATAAAGTAATTCAACGTTACTTTTATCATTTTATTGCATAAACATATTGATGTATAAACATTAAAAAAAACCTATTTAGCAACTTTAACATTGAATATCTGTGTTAACTTCTCCTTCTTAAAACTATGCTTATGAAGATTTACTTGCAGTTCGGACAAATAAAAGACCCTTTATCATTTTTAGTTAATCCTACACAATCTTCATGAACATATTTGTGACAAATGTCACACTTACGCATATGCTCGGATATGGCCCATATTACTATCACCATACAAAGAATTCCTTTTCTTTATAAACAAAACATTGTGACAAAAATATAAACTAAATATAGTGTTGTAAAGTATGAATATAGAGCTACAATAACATGAACTATGGAAATTAATGATCATATTTTCACAATTATAGAAAGCAATTATTTACTTACTGAATGTTACATCACAACCACGATATATCTGCAGTTTTTTCTGTTTTTACGCAAACATAATGAATAATATAATTTATGAATTGATGCAATCGAGTTGTACGGATCGCCTGCTCGAATTACTATTTTTTGTTGTCAACTGTTAAATTAATCATATAATTATATACAAATAGCGAGTGACCCACTTTGGAAAAGGGCTCAGATTGGGCCCGGTTACTTTATATCGATTAAATACAAGCCACTCACGACATTCGTCCAGTAGGTAAACTCTATAGACATCGGTTGCTGTAGTCAATCACAACGTGAATGGAATATTTCCGAATATGTCTGTATGATTTTCGATAATCGCACATTTAATTTAATTTTTTTTCCGATAAATATTAAGATATATATTAAGCGTAAATATATTCATAAATGGTAAATACAGGTCTTGCGGAAGTAGCAGAGCAGATTAAAAAAGCTGGTGGAAAATGTTGGACGTATTGTTGCGATATAGGTGATAAAGAAGCAGTGTATCACACTGTAAAAGCGGTACAAATCGAAATCGGAAATGTGAGTAAACGTTGCTTAAACCACCAACGAGATACTATTAAAGACCCTCATTCCTGGATAAATTTTCGCGCATCGACATATCTTTATATACTACCACATCAATATCTCACGCAACCGATGATACACGCAGTCGCACATTTGTGTCAATTTTCGTATAACAAATTCGTCTCGATAAGCGTCTTTAGTCCTAAATATCGAAATTGCTGCAACGATTTTCGACAATATGTAAGACGCACTGCATTTAGCTATTTAGGTAGTTTTTAAATACTTAATCAGGAAAAAATAATAAAATTTATTAAATAAATAAATGTTTCTATAGGTAAGTCTGTTAGTAAATAACGCTGGATACGTGTACGGGAAGACTTTCATGGAATTGCCCGATTGGGAAATTGAACAAACTTTTAAAGTGAATATTTTGTCACATTATTGGGTGAGTATTTAAAGAAATTTGCGTTTTTTAAGTTTTTTGCAAAAGTTGTTATACTTCCAATTCTTATATTTTATCAGCATTATTTTACAGATTACAAAGTCATTTTTGAAAGATATGATAAAAAATAATCATGGTCACATTGTGACAATAGCGAGTGTTGCTGGACTTTTAGGAATTTACAAGTGTACAGATTATTCTGCGACAAAGTTCGCCGCCATTGGATGTCACGAGAGTCTCTTCACCGAACTCAAAGTATGTAAGACTATAATTATCGAGTAAAGTGAATTATTTCGTATCATCATTCTTACATACATTACTAATTATTATTTTATTATCACTGTATTTTAAGATGCATGGATACGAAGGAATTCATATGACTTTAGTTTGTCCCTACCTCATTAATACAGGAATGTTCAACGGAGTGAAACCTAGGTTCGTGAAAATATGTTATAAAAAAATTACTGGAAAGACAATTATTCAATTATTTACATACAATACTTTATAATAAATAATCTTCAAACAGATTGATACCAATGCTTGAACCAGAATATGTTGCTGAAGAAGTAATCGCGGGTGTTTTAGCAAATTATATATATATATAGGGGAGAGTCTAAATCCGTGTCCAAATCGGACAGTACAGTGAATAACTTATAGGCCTGGTTGTAGTACCGGTGATCAGCTGATCAGATCTGATCCAAGTAATTAAATCAGTAAAATATCATGAGTCATCAGACTCGGATTAGTTGAGTTTTATTGATTTCAATTCTAATAATATAAACAGTCAGTAATTTCTTTTTCCGAAAAAATGTTTATCTTTGACTCAAATTGCTCGTTTTTACTTAATACTAAGAAAAATACATTAAAATATTAAAAAATTTTATCTAAAAATCCATAAAAATAGGAGTTTTCGATTCGAACCAGGGGATGGTCCGATTTGGAACCATTGGTTCCAAATCTGACCGGAAAAAACGTTTTTACATTTTCCATTACAGTTCAACAAAGGTAAGAGATACGTCAAAATGGTCTAAAGCAAAAATGAAGGGAATTAAATGATCTATCCAATAGCACCTTCGATTTTACGATCGGACTTTATTTACGCCTTATAGAGAGCAAAAACTGCAGGTCCGATTTAGACCGCTCTCCCCTATATATAGAGGAAAGCCCCCTATTATGAGATAGGCGCCTAATATGAGATAGCGGCATTTCTGCTAAACTAATAAACGCTATCTATTGGTTCCACCATGAATTTATTGCTCTTGGATTGAAAACTATTTAGTAGAAAATTCATTATTAGATCATGTCTGTAGTCATTGTAAAAAAAGATTTTAGAATTTTGATATCTTCAAGTTTCATTAAGAGATGAGCCTTTAAATCTTGTTTAATATTTAATAAATAAATATTTGACAATAAATTCTTCATGTAGTGATAGAGTAAGGTCGTACTAATAGAAAAATACGGGATATGTTGAATTGTTTAATTACAAAAGTTAGATTTGATGATCATATAACCATAAGGCGTGGAAATCGTAATATGAGATACCCAGGGTATTTCTAATATGAAATAACCCATGCTCCTATGTCATAGTGAAAATCGTTGCTAAAGAGTAAATGTTATTGTACTATAATAAAAAGGACAACCGGAATGAACGTCGAGTGTCTATTTCTGCGATGCTTGATTCCAACTACCTGAAGATGAGTTCTGGGTATAATCTCTCGCATGCTTATTTTTCACGCACCCTGGCTGTGTTTGTTTGCATTTTAGAAACATGAAATAAAGTTTTTTAGTTGCAATATTGATATATCTTGCGTTTTACTATCGATTTCTCGGGGCATCTCATATTAGGAGCACAATTTTTTGAATTTGTGATTTGCTCATTTTTTACATTTCGCTAATTTGAAAAAAAATGGAATTTTAATTAAATTTTATATAACGTTATCTTAAAACTTATTAAATTCCCTTCAAAATGACCTATTATTTTTTTAAGTTCTACCCATAGACTTCTAGCATTTATCCAAAATGAATTCGGTATCTCATAATAGGGGCCTTTCCTCTATACATGTATATATATTCATACATTAATTGTGCTTTATCTATACATATAATATATATTATTCATATACATATTTATGGATAAATGTACATACGTATGTATGTATATATACATACAAGATGTATATACATATGTATGTTGAAGTTATTTATATTATTATTTATTATAGCTTATTACCAATGAAGATAAGCTGGGCATTAATGTATCACATTTTGAAAGGACCACAGATCATGATGACATTCAAAGGTCGTAAATCAAATAATACTTACAATGATAATAATAGTGCAACGAATTATGAAGATATACATGTGCATTAAAGTTGTACGAGACAGAATAAATATATTATAATTTTTTACTACATAAATTTTATATATGCTTGTAAAATATATTTTTTTGTTATCTCTTATACATGCATCTTACATATAAGTATTACAAAATTTTTATTACATAAAATAGAAAATTATGTAACAATTTATAGTAAGTCATAAAAATAATTCAATCCTTGGCCTAATTCCCAAATCGAAATTCCTGTACCCAATTCATTAGCAAGTTCTAATCGAGCCTTAATTGAATATAACGTAGGATAGAAAACATAACCATTACCTGTAGCTAATCTAAAATAAATGCATCAATTTATAAATATAATATTAAAAAAAAAAGTTTTTTACATTTTTCATATCAATTACAAATAAGATAATAGAAAGAAAAAGAGAAAGAAAAAAGGATAAAAAAGTGAAAGAGAAAAGAAAGCAGAGAAAAGGAGGATAAAAAGAGTAAAAAAAAATAGAAAAGATAGGAAAGCAATAGATAAGAAAAGAAAAAGGAGAGCAAATAGGAAAGGGATTGAGAGACAGAGAACCATGACAAAGAAACTAAAAATAAGAACAGATAGGAAGAAGAAAAGAGAGAAGACAAAAACACAGGTATAAATAAAGGAAAAGAGTTGAGAAACAGAAAGAATGGAAGAGAGAAATAGAAAGAACAGATAGGTTACAATAATAAAATATTACTTTGGTTCAAAGAAATGCTCTTTGCTGCTATTATCCCATTGAATTTTTCCTTTAAATGATTTTAATATATCCAAATATTCAGAGGCGAGAATTGCCCTGCCACCCTCTGGTGTATAATTGTAACCATAGAAATTAATACCTAATAAAATTTGAGATCGCCTATGATTGTTTTTCTCTGGAGCTAAAAATTCAACACATTGTCTGGTCCAATCGAGAGGACTATTTGGACCTGGCCTTTGAATACTCGAATAATCATAGGTCATAAGCGAAAAGGCGTTTACATATGATGCTAATTCATCAAACTCTTGCTTTGAAAATAATTCAACTTGTGCACTAAAAGAACATGCAAATAAAAGTAAAAAAGATTAAATTTATGTAATATATTATATGCATTTCGAAAAGTATCAAGTACCCTCTGGATGGTGGTATTGCTAATATAATATCTAAATCATGTTTCTTTAACTTTTGTGCAATGAATTTGACTACAGATGTAATAATTGATAGATTTGCACCTGCAAATATAAACTGATTCCATATTTCTAAGACATATCCGTCGAAGTGAAAAGTCTGTAAACAAAACGTTTATATACATATTCTAATAGATAGAGAATGTATAACAATATATATAAATGTGGGCTAAAAAGTTTTGTCCCCTGTGTTATTTTAGTTAGAATATCATATCTGTGTGTTAAAATTGGCAGATTGTAATTTAAAATAATCTTTCAATCTCAATTTAGCATGAATCATTTTTATTTTGTTTACATCTTCAACTCAATGAGTTAAAATCATCACATCCGTGCGTATAAAAAAATAGTTGTGTCGCTGCAGAGATAGAAGAGATATATTAAATTTTGTGATTTTAACAATTTTTTGTATTGTACTTGTTAAGAATAAATTGATCGGTTTTTACATTAAATTGTTGCTTTATGAATCTATATTATTTATATATTGTGTAGATACATGATTCTGCTTCGTATTTAATAATATATTTACTTAATATCTGTAATTATAGTTTTTATATGATTATATTAAAAATAAAAAGTATGTGATGACCTAAAAATACGCACTTGAAAAGTTGATTCAGCCCGTGAAAAATAGTGATGCTATAAATGACAATGATAACGATGATATATTTTGCTCATATATTTTGTATATAGATTTTAAATCTTGATAAAAGTCAGATCTAGTGCGAAAGCTGCTGATTCTAAGCCTATATCGATTGCGCTAAGATCGATTGTCGGTTGGAAACTTACTTACGTGAATTGCACGTAAAAAATACTTCAGGTATTTATGAAGATTCATATTCAATCAAAAATAAAGGCTTTTTTAATCTTAATCAACATTAGAAAATAGGAATTAAAGGCTCTTAACGGTCGAAGCTGGATCTTTAATGCTTAAATAATTCAATGTGAATTTGTATACTATACTTCCAGATAACCAAATCTGAAGAGACAGATTTTGAGTAGAGTCTACTACCAATTTCTGATTGCAGAAAGGCAACAAATTGTATACAAAGTTTGTACTACTCAGACAATATCAGCAAATGGCTGTCAAAAATATTACAAAGCCTGATAATATGCTATGCCAGCAAATTGGTGACAGAAACCGAACAGAGTTTGCTGCATAACCTGACAACAGATTGCGAATAGAAACCGAGCAGATCTTGTTGACATAACCTGACGGCAGATTGACAGCAGAAACCGAACAAAATCTGCCATTTTCATATATGGTTTCCTCACGAGATGGACTTGCTTCTCGTAAGAAGAAAACGTCCAGGGTCGTGTTTGAAAACATCATCTAGGTGCCCCCGTGTTTCATCTTATCCTTGTTTCACATTGGGTGAACAACAAGGATAAAACGATACATGGGGGCGTTCAGATAATGCTTCCGAACGCAACCCTGGGAGTCTATTCTTGAAATCGTTTGCAATGTTACGAGTGCGCACAGTTCGAATGATGAAAATCCGTATACGTTTCTAATACGATATTCTTGAACATTAATAAATAGTACTCGTAATTGGAAACGTATACATTTTCGGTTGCGCTGATTTACGTTTAACAACGTCGAAAAATATATGTACTTTCTACAAATATCATTCAGAAATACGACGTGTACAAAAAAAGATAGTACTTCATATTTATATTAATTAATAGAATCTAAAGAAAAAATGTATGTATACACAAATATGTTTTTATTAATTAAAAATTTTTTATAATTTTTTGTTAGCATATACATATGAGACCATTTTTATGCCAAGAAAATATGTATTATTGAGCTTAATGTATAGGTTAGAATTAGCAGGAAAATATTACTTGTTATTTTTAATATATTTTTTCTCATTCTTAAAAATAAAGATTTTCTAAAATTGGAAATGCAACATATTATATAATTTCTGAAAATCCAAATGTAACAAAAATGTTTCAAATTTTTTGTCTACTTGACAAATAGTTGTTATAAAGTTTTACTATTAGTGAGATAAGTATAATATTGGTAAATATGCCGAATAGGGAAGCATTCTCCGGTGATCTTGATTTTGACATATTTTGTCAAGATCATGACCTCGAGTGACCTTGAACAAATTTTAGCCGTCACTCGTTGTTTATTAAAAAGTTACTAACAAAAGAAGTTTAACTATATAACACGAAAATTCTTTGCTTTAAAATAGCGAAAGAGGTATGGGGTGAATTAATTAAGGGAATATGGCTTTCTCTCTCCCTCTGTAAAGGAGCGCACGGCTCTCATCTCCGACTCTCACCCCCCCTCTTCCCTCCCCCCCCCCCCCCCCCGCCCCTCTGCTTTAGGGGCGCACTACTCACCTGCGACTCTCGCCCCCTCCCCCCCATGTGCTTTGAATAGTTATAAACACAGTTGGGTATACACACACATCACACATACGCACTTATGTATATTCATAACAATAATATAGATTTATCAAAGCTCACGAACATTCCTTGTATTTAGTAATTGATAGATTTCTAACACGTCACATGCAACTTCATGAATTTCTACGCTTGATTGATAATTACGAAGAGTTATTTTCTTATTTGTGCAAGAAAGGTATAATTAGACAAAATATTGAGTATCCGCGATGTAAAATCAGTCTCAATTTACGTACGAATAAAGAATTATTATTTCATTGCACGAGAGATTATTATAAAGTTGTTCGTAGACGTAAAAGACAAAGGAAAATATACAATTTTAAGTTAAGCCCATTCAATAACACATTCTTCTCCCATTTTCATCTTGGCTTATAGAAAACATGTCGCTTCATTGCATATTTTTTGATGTTGCATCCACCCCGGCAACAATTTTTGCAATACGAATTACAAATGAATTCTCATAGCGTAGTTGATTGGACCAATTTTTGTTGTGAGGTAATTAAAATAGAATAATATATTTTTTTCATGTTATTTACTACTTTTGCATATTTTAGTTACTGGCTCAGTGGTTGGCCCAAGATACAGCTTTAGGTGGTCCAGGAAAAATAGTGGAGGTTGATGAGGAAAAAATAGGGAAGCGAAAATATAATCGTGGTCGTTTTATATGAGGACAATGGGTCTTTGGAAGCTACAATTAACGTAACAGTGGCCGTATTTTCATAATTTCTGTGAAAGACCGTACGGAAAATACTTTAATAACATATATACGTCGTCACATACCGGGAACAACAGTGATATACAGGGATATACAGTAATGGTTGGCGTGAATACGCTTAAATAGATCAACACGACTATAACCATATGTGCGTTAATCATTCACAAAATTTTGTTGATCCTGTAAGTGGATGCCACACTCAAAATATAGAACGAATATGGCGTGATATACGCAGTGCAATTCCTCGTTATGGACTTACTCAAAAACATTATAAATATTACCTCGCTGAATTTTTATTTAAAAGATTGTACTCTTTTGAAGAAAGAATCGAAACATTCTTTGAAATCATGAAAAATATATATCCTATTAATAATGTTCTTGAATAAATTTCATTATAGCAGTAATGAGACATTATGATTTTTTAATTCTTGGGGATGAGAGTCGAAGGTGAAAGTCGTGCGCCCCTGAAGCAAGGGGGAGGGAGAGTGAAAGTCGAAGGTGAGAGTTGTGCGTCCCTTTGCAGGAGGCGGGAGGAGCGAAAGAATCGAAGATAAAAGCTACCTAAAATTTGTTGGAGATCTTTCAGGATCATGACCTTGACGACATATGTCATAGTCGCGGTCGTCGCGTCGATGCGACATTCCCTACAGTACTATCAAACATATTTTAAAGCAAGGAATTCTCATGTTATATAGTTGAAGTTCTTTTGTTAATAACTTTTTAA